CAACCATTTTTTCCTTATCAGTCAAATAATTCAAATGAATCACATAATGTAACTCAAATACACTTCACAGAATGGGAAAATTTCAGTGTACCAACAATTACAGACATGGATAAACTTGTGAAAGAATACGAACAAAACTATCAGTCTCTTGTTAACCATCAATCTATTACAGCCTCAATCGGACCAACTGTTGTACATTGCAGGTAATTCAACTAATAATACTGTCCATTTCCAAGTTGTGTAAAATAAAAAATACCGCGACATACACTCGTTAGTACTGGGTAGTATTACTACATTTCAGAGCATGCCTTTTTATTCAACACTAGAATAATTGTACTGTTCCATGTGAATAGATACTAAAGGGTTGTATGTATTTGCATCCGTCGTGTCATTAACGGGATACTGGTATTTGGTCATAGACTCAATCAAAGCATTGCTCGCTTGTATTGAGACCGTAGAGTGAGCAACGCCGAAGTTATACTCAGGATATAAGGTAAATATGCCAAATCGATTAGTAAGGCTGTTAGTCTTCATTGACTAAGTTAGTTGGGTCATATGTCGCATATCCCCAACGGCTACTTTCCGTGATGCCAGTTTATGGGCAGATTGAAAGCTAGAGGTGGGACAAGCCAAAACGTGGGATCAGTTCATGAAGTCATGAATTTCTGGGTTAAGCCATATTGGTAGTTCTACACTACCAGGTTGGTGTTCTCGTAGTCAGTGAAGACTTTGGTTGACATGACTCACAATGGCGTTTAGGCATTCACTCTTTCTCTTCATCCTTTAGATTTTGAGTTTTTTTTTATTAATTACCTCATACTCTTTACTCTGCGAATTCACTCATTTTGCTCGAATCATAGTGTTACGCCTAATATTTTCTGTCATCACACATGTACCGAGTTGATGATTAGGCAGTAGTTTAATGGTTAAGACGTTCGGCATTCAACATTTATGTAACAGGTTGGAGTCCTGATTTGCTTAATTCAGTTTCAACACGTACCACTAACCCTCACATATAAAGCGTGGTTTAAATCTGAGTAAATAAATTTGTACTTGGCAAGTAATTAACATCATTATCACCATTGAAGAATCATATCGACCAGTGATGTAAGGCATTATATGGAATTTTGATTTCATATTTAACAGGACTTATCAGTATTACACATGTTTGAAATTTATATGAATTACGAAGCACTTTAATGTGACTACAAAAAGCAGAATTTCTGAAAATATGCTAATGCACAATTTGATGAAATCTGAAATTAATTAAAGGAATATACAACGAAATTCTAAGTTTCGCATATCACGCAAATACCCTAAACATAATCTAGGGCGATTGCTTCAACATGTAGATTAAGATTTACACTAACTGAGTAGACCTATCTGATACAATATAACAAAATGTGTTATATCCTAGGGAGAATTAAATTACAAGTAACTTCTGCGATCTATTAATGGACTAATATCATCTACATATTCTTAGTGGTATAACTATTCAGTAATTAGATTATATATATCTATATTCACCTTATTATAAGCTTCATTTTGACATATAGATTATTATTGTACGATTTACTGTTCTTAAGTTATGTTCAGTTTATTGATTACAGTTTCCCACGTTCACAGCCACTTTTGGCTCTATTTTGTATAAATATTATTCCCCATTTTATGGTCTGTTTGGCTAGTATATAGACCAAGCATGTTTGAAACAAATGATTCGCATAGTGAGAGCTGTTATTGGTGTTCTGGACTCAACTGAATGGGCTAGGCTGATCATACCGGTCGAATTTCATTGGTTTAATACAGTACAAGAGTGAATAAGTCGAATTTCGATTGGCGAATAAATTAAGTGATAACTAGCCGAACTTAAATTCACAACAAAATGATTCATGTTCAGTGAAAACATGACTGAGTTTTACTGTCTAATGATCGATATTTGAGAAAACGGTGTAAATAAAACGTTTTACCTAAGACAAATTTTAGGCATTTATGTCATTTGGAAATTGAGCTTTTATCGCTTTTACATTTCTTCCGGAATCTAGCGGTTACAAGTTCAAAACCTATTCTAACATCTTAAATTTTGTAATGTGGAGTAATATTATGATTTTCAAACGAAAAAAGTATCACAACCATTAACTAAACTTACATTGTACTCGTCATTCCCTTTTTGCATATCACAAATCAATGATACCATACTAAATCTGACTGTACGTAGTCTTTTCGATTTTTTTAGTGCTGGAGTTGGTCGAACTGGAACATTTATTAGTGCTCTTATTGTTCGCAGACATCTTCGATCTGGCTGTCAATGGATTAGTTTACCAAGTATTGTTTTAATGCTGAGACTCTGGCGCCACTGTATGGTTGAATTGACAGTGAGTTTTTGCAGCTGATTTACTGATATGACTCATTTAAAGCAAACATCAGTATAAACACAAACTTTTAAACTGAGGAGGTTGAATTTTTCAGTGAAAATCAAACTTTAAAAAATAATGAGATGAGTTTGGTTATACTTAAATTCATTCAGATGTACAGGTTTCTAGGCTACATTAAGAAGTAACAATATAAACAACCGGTTTCACTTTTGTATATGTGTACTGCAGAGACATATGTTGGAACTTACCTTACTAGGTAATTCAATTCATAATTTAGAAACATTATTGACAATAAAAGCGAGAAAGTCACATTTTCAATTCACGTCAACACTAATCATAGATCATGTATGCTAAGATTTGCACTAACGTGTTGTAAAACAAGCAGGATATTTCACAGAATAATAGAATTTTACAAAACATCTCAGTAAAACCATAGTCAAACTAGAGATACGAAGTACGGTTTCGCCCTATCAGGATATTAATCGGTGCTTTAATATAGTCTCAAAGTTTTTTCAAAATCCCTCACTAAATTCAGTCTACTGTAGTATTTGTACTGATAAGCTTAAAGCATTATTTACTTAAACAATGATGAATCAGTCGAATGAAATCCTCGAAAAAAAATTAGTTTATCATAGCCGATGCAACTCGGAATTAATCTTAGGTACGAAAATTTATCGTTTTTCTACTGTTTTATGCCTTAATTTTCTTGAATAATTCCGGACCTATGTACACAGTTCTGTTTAGTGAAGACGCTGAAAAAACTGGGCATTCTGACTACCTTAAAGTAACAATGCAAACATGTTTATGATGCGATTTTCCATCAGAATAAAAAAAATTTGTTCCAGGACTGGTATGCGTCAATGCCTGAACTAAAGATATGGAGTGAAGCAAATGAACTCGTCGATCAGTTATCTTGGACGTCTCACCAGCCCTAGTAGGTTAGTGTCTGACCAAATCTCACGACGGGTTTAGTAAGCTCGCTTTGTTTTTGTCAACTCGCATTACCTATGGGGTAGGCGATATGTCTATCTACCGGTCAAGGGACGAGTATACTGCACAGTAGCTCGTTTTATTTTAATTTATATCTAAAAAAAGTTACTAGTAATTAATCTTTAGTTGGTTTGGAAGCATGACTCGACTGATCAATTAAGAAGTTCGATTTAACATTGTCTCACAATTAGTCATGTAAAAGAAATCCCTAAAAATGATTTATATACTACACTAACCAGTTAGTTGTTTTAGTATCGATAAAAGTAAGTATGAAAAGTAAGAATGAAATGATTTTGATGAAGTTTTGTTCTCTGAGCTGGATAGTTTGGTCTTGGAGCTTTCATCGTTCTTCTGAACGATATCATCAGCACAAACTTCAGGTAGAAATGAATGGAATAAAACTTCAATACTGATAATGACATTCTTTTTACTTTTAAGGAACAATATCTATTTCTACATGAATATTTCGCATATATTTTGAATCGAGAAAGATATTGCTAACATAAAATTCTAACCAACTAATTGAGGAATGATTATTATATGTATTAAACAACAAACGATGAATATACTATTGTCCAAGTATGAACTGGTCAGTCAGTCAGTAACAACGTAGAACTGGTAACAACAACGTATGAACTGGTCATTTCAATTGGTTACATTGATTACATTTTCCCACGTTAAAAACAAGCCATTCTGTATTGATCAAGGTTTTATTTTTCAAAATATTCATTACAAGTTTTTGTATATAATTTAATTCTTACATTTATTATTGTTTACAATATACAGTATGTTGTTTTAAAAACGAAATACTTTTTTTAGTTTGAAGAAGTTTTACTATACAAAACAACTGATTCACATTCAGTGAACTGAATAAAAACCCAACTTAGCATCAATAAGATGTGGGGTTATATTTCTAGATGGTCTGTTTGTGGTCAAAGTTTATCTTCAAAGATTTTTTTGCTTACAGAATGATGTATTGATATACCTATCGACTCACAACAGTAGTTGTATTTCTCAACCCTGATGTACCATTTGATTCTGTAGACCGATAGGTTGTATGGAAGTTTATGTCATTGAAAGACCTACTGAAGAAATACATCAATCTTTTTACAGGCCCTCTATTCAAACAGTACCGGTTGAGTTAGAGCCTATGGCGAACGATCATTAGAATTATCAAACTCAAGAAGTGTTCGTCAGGGTTGTCTGCTTTCCTCATTTTTGTCCAGTTTTGTCATAGGCATTTTCTAGAGATAAAATTTAACGTCCGATTTATTAGGGATTGATTTACTAGAAAGTTCTGTTGTTAACTTAGAATACGCAGATAATGTAGTTTCATTCCGTGAAGACGCTGAAAAGCGTTTTGACCGCCTTAACCAAGAATCCTAGCATGTTTGGGATGCGTTTCTCTCCCTCCAGACGCAAAATATTGTTTTAGGACCGGTATGCGTCAATGCCTGAACTAAGGATACGGAGTAAAGAAGTTGAGTTCGTCTGTCACTTCACTTATTTTGGAAATCTCATCACCTTAAGTGGGTTGGTGCATGACGAGATCTTGAGATAAATTCAGAAATTTCGATTGGCTTTTGCCAAATTATGCCACTTGCTGTATATATGAGATATTCGTTCGCCAACTAAAAGGTCTCATTATGCAGCAGTTCGCTCTATATTATTTTATGGGTGTGAAATATGACCATTAAGAATAGAGGATATTCGCAGATAACTAGTATTCGACTATTAGTGTTTTCAAAACATTGTTGGCGCGTTTTGGGACCAGTGGGTAAGCAAAGTCGGGATTCGGAAAAGGGTACTAGGTAGGTATGCCAAACAAATTGGCAATGTAATGAATCTTTGTCAGTCGAAACATGTGTTACATATGCTCATCCACCGACCACCTTGAAGCGTGAGGATGGCTAATGTAGTAGGTTGGAATAAGTCTAGATGCAGCCAAATCGACATGGCATCACTCCATGAAGATACTAACTGTTAGACTGAGCCATATTAACAAGCGTAGACTACCTAGATGAGGTCCGCATGATTATCGTAACCAGATGGAAGAGAACGCAATTCTCTTAAAGTTAGCTATAATTCGTATTTATTCGGAATACTGTTTTAAATGAGAATTTGAATCTGTCATTACAAAAACAAGCATGAGGGAATCGAAAATCCAGTGTTATATTAATAAATGAACAAATCAACAAAGTAACATACACTTTTTGGTTATACACACATTAATGACTGAGAAATGAGCGGTTAGTAGAACGTATTGTAAAACACCTAACTTCTGGTATATTTTTTCAACGTAAACTAACGCTGAAATCAACTGGTCTTCTAGATTGAACGCTACCAGATGAACTAACGTTGAACAAAGCTTTGCGAACAACATCTGCGTCTACTTCGACCGGAATGCCTGATTTGTTCAGAGACTCACGAATAACTTGTTTAGCCTGCGTTTCAGTTTGTTTCCTGAGAAGTTAATTACAAAGAAATATGGAGAATGATAACTAAATAGATACAGGGAAATAATATACGTCTTTTAACGATTTCTGATTTGCAGAATATACAAGCATATAACAAAGTGTATAGAAAAAAATTCAAAATTACAAAACATTAGTGGATTAACCTTCCATAATTTGGTCCGAGTCTTGAGGCCATGCGAGCAGAAGTGTCACGTTCACTGGGTAAATCACTAACTGGTGTAGTAAGGCTTACACGCATTGGACGGCCATCTAGTTCACGACCATTATAACGTTCAATAGCTTCAAGCGCATCTGAAGAATGATTATAAATTACTTCTGCTTGGCCAGGACGTGTAACAGTACACAGACGTAAACTCCCAACGCTGCTAAATAGCTCCTACAAGAAAAAGGAGTATCAAATTAATTTTTATATTTGGATAAAATATTCATATTCTATAACTAGTACTGCTTACTTTAACGAATGATTAAAAGGGCATAAAATAATGCTATTTTGGCTTCCTCATCAAATAGCAGAAAAAGTGTGGCAACACATAAAAAGAGCAGTGTATTGAGTTGCTTGATCTTTATATATATATATATATATATATATATATATATAGTAGTGTCGCAGGAATAGAAGGTGGGATGCTTACTAACAGAAGATAGATATGAAGAGAACAGGAAGGAGAACGGAGAGCATCGGAATAACAACAGAATCATAATGATGGAGTATGTAAAGGATAACTGAAAGAAGATGGGCAAATGATGTATTTAATGTATGATTTTCATGCTTCACAAAGGTACTGCGATTCCGCACAACAATATGGTGGTTTTCCCGCCATGTCTTTCTTTACAAATCAAGTGACTTGTGTGGTGCATATGTATTCAGTGCCTATTTGTACCAATATTTATGTGTTCAAATAAATAAATGTTCACTACAGTAATATCCATGTTGGTAAATGTAAATGATACACGTGAAAATCGTAGTCGGTGGGTGAAGATGTGAGTGACACGCCTCAGAATCGGTCACGATGGTCCAGACTCACTTAATATCTCGCCCTGTATTTGCAGTCCCAAAACTTCATGTACACCTTTTCGTTGTCTTTCCGAATCATATTCTTAATGTCTAGCATTTCTTATTATCATTGCTACTGGGTTATTTTGATTCCTTTGTTATTCGTCTTGTTAACTTTCTCGTTGTGCTTATGAAGTATGGGAACTTTAGCCGACGCACTTATATAGCAGTCTCAACGTTGATTATGACTGTCCATCAGTATAGAGTGTGGCACAGATGTGCATTGACCCAAATTGTTATACCACAGTAACACAGAGAGACGAATGTAACAAGTATAGTCGCACGAGATCGAAATAATATAATAACAATAATAATAAGAAAGAATAAACATAGGAAATATGGCTAAGAAAGACGGAGTGAAAAGGTAAATACAAAGGAACCCAAGATCGAGTGAAAGAGTGAATACATATGCACCATTGAGGACTATCCCGAGCGGTGACCGTGGTTAGTGAACGGTGAAAATACTAGAAGAATACTACGACGTAACGGGCATCCAGTGCTTCCAGGTTTTCAATAGTTGTATAACTTGGAAAGGTTTGTGATCCCAATAAAAACACACCAAAATACTTTGTACTTTCAAAACTAAAATACAAGACTTGTTTTATTCACTGTGAAATTCAACAATTGATAGTGAAGCAATTCCAGAAGCCGGTCACTCTACTCACTCTTTAAGCTTCATTACCTCCGATGACTTGGTGGCTGAAAAAATCTCGACACGGATTTGAAAACCTCCCTAGGCTTTTGTCAGTATACACCACCTGTAAGAGAGGCGAAGTGTTCATCTGTTTTCCAGAATATACGGAGCGGTAGTTCATTCTGTACCACTTTATGACAGTTAAATAGTGTATATTTAGGTTGAATACATGGGTAGGTAGTTATATGTTGAAGATAGACGGCTTCTTATGATTCGTAGTGCATAATGGCATGACTGAATGAGCAATAATGCAGCTGAGATTACTAGGTAAGGATGGCAAATCATTTGATGAGGCTATCAAACTTTTTCGACTAAAGGATTTGGGACATTTGATAATCATACCTAGTCACCTGGTAGCTGATTCGTTGGGGGTAGAAATAGGTTGGATAAATGCTAAAAGTGGGCAAAACAAAATATGTTTTGAGTCGTAAAGTATTTTTGAGATAGTAGGAATTCAGAAATTAGACTGACCACAATGGCAAAGATGCATTCACGAATGAAAACGTGAGAAGCATGCACCTTGGGAGAAGTTTCATGCTATATGTGTTTGAAATACACAGTATCATCTTTGTATAAATATAAAGTTATTTATTTAACAGTTCGGAAACAGGGTTTTAAGATGAAAAGTACCTATACAGCATTATATATTTATAACGGTCACCTTTTCTGTATTCTTCAGAATTATCATGCCCTGATGTTTTGCTTTTCCCGGATCATTTCAACTAAGGAATAAGTCTGTCGTCTTCATAAACTGTTTGTGTTCTTACTTGCGTCGTGCGATTCACGGGATCAAGTAGTCAGTATCAATTATCTGCCGCTACAACTGACAGAATTCCCTATAACTTCATAACTGTTCAGGTGTTTTTGGAGGGTGAAATAAATCCCTTTCTGCGCTTAGTTGTGTCGTGTGAATTGCCATAATTTACTTTCAAGTGCTAAATTAGTCCTTATAGTTACAATAGTTCAACAAATGCTTGATTTTAGGAAAAACCAAGAGCTGTCAATAAACACTAACAATTCATGAATCTCAAATGAAAAATGGAAGCTTATTATTACTTTAAATAATGATATTAGTTATGATCAAGTCAAAAATCATGTCTATCACGTCATAAAGATAATAACTTCTGCAATACCCCAAAACTATCACACGCAACTAACTAGATTATAAAACAACGAAATATAACTTACGAATACATCATCTAGCGTGACGGACGGCTGAAGGTTACGAATTTCCACACGGAAACCTTGTATTGGACTAATCTTAGGTCCTGATGAAGAAGCAGACACTGGAACTTCATTAAACGGTAACAAGTTAGCAAATAACCCAGTAGTGGGTGTAGGGTTATTAAGAAAATCAAGAGGATTAGGAAGAGGCAACGGTAAGCTCAGCAGATCAGGAATACCTGGACGAAGAGGTACTGGACGTGGTTTTCGCTGAAACATAAAAAAATTTATGAATAGAAATCTCATAAGGACAAAACAAAACAACTTTTCACCGAAATAAATGATGTAATTTGACGTCATACCCACGTACTGAATCATTAAAAACATGGTTCTTTGTTTTTAATTTTAATAAACGCAAAATGTATTAACCTTCATATATATATCAAAGGTACTTTAAACTTCACGTTTCAAACTAGTTTCCATCGGCAAATATTAAATAACTTATATTTCTTAATAAACTGAAATAAAAGAAGTGAAATTACAACACTCAATTGCAGAAATTTAAGTTACGAAGGATTATGAAGTTCAATATCAACTTACTGAATTTCGTAGACTGTTTATTTGACCTCCAAAAAGTTCATTTTTAATCTACAGAAAAAAAAGTTAGCTCAAGTGAAGTTATATGAAAGGAAATCAAGTTTATTAATATGAACACGAAACAAAACAGACGTTAACAAAAAGTAAAACATAAAAAGTTGCACTCATAGCAAAAAAATATTACATCGGACGAAATGGATGCTCCTTCTGGCTACGCGTACATGAACATTGATTAGCATTTAGGCGACATTATATTTTATCACTGATATCAGCATATTAAGATAATCCTGGACCAGGGAAACTTCAAGATCCTTAAAGAATTTCTAGGAAAGTGACAGGTATATCGATTGTCAATCAGCCACAAGAATAGATATCAACCAATACAGTCAGCGTGAATATAAAGATAAATGAAGACAATAAAATGTGCCAAGACGGTCAGTCAAAAATAAGGCCAACAAAATAAGTGGTATAAAACTTATGGAATAACTGAAATGGGCGCTGAAAACGTTTAGGATAATAATAAAATCTCTTCAATTAAACCATCCAGCCACGAAAACACAACACTAAAAATATTCAACCAAGTTGTAGTTTATTTTCGGCCTATATGAACATATGTAGAGGCGTGGATCTTCAATCAAAGCAATTCGCAAGCATATGAAGTTAACTATCACATTTAAAGGATATCAAAGTGTAAACGTCATTATTTACCAAAATATTTTTGACTAAACACATAAATGTACTCTTTGCTAAGTAGTCAGCCATAACTTACGTAGAATTTAGCACAAATTTTTATTGGTCGAGTTTTTGAATCACAGTGCAATGAGAGGAAGTTAACAAGATACATAACGGAGAAATGATAGTGGTACCAATAATGATTAGAAAACTAAACTTGGAGGACAGTTCGGTGTGGGCAGCCGGGAAGTGATATCAGCCCTCATACCCGTAACAGCACAAGAGACCAAGGTGGTCACATTCAAATCTTTCCTACACCTTCTAATACCTCTCTTATCTCCCCGACTAACCCTCCCCACGTCTCTTTATCACCTCGCACCGCTAGGGCAAACGATTCGAGTACGTGGAACGCTATTCCTGGTCTCCTGAAACCACGCTCTAAACTACACGTAGGAGCTTTTAACGTACGAACACTTTGCCAAATAGGACAGCAGGCTTCATTAGCTAGGACTTTAGAATCTCGCGCCATCGATGTGTGCTGCGTCTCCGAAACGCGCATACAGGATCCAAGTAGCGTCATTCATTTGACCTCACCATGCCAAAATAAAGAACCGACTCGATTTACGCTTCGTGTATCTGGGAGCCCTGATTCTGCTTCCCGCGGCCTTGCCGGCGTAGGTATAGCATTGAGTCCTAGGGCAGAACTAGCTCTCTTAGAGTGGATCCCAGTAGACAGTCGTTTGTGCGCTGTCCGACTGAACGGAACAGTAAGAATCCGGAAAGATAGGGACACTCGTCGTTGCCTCTTCGTCGTCTCTGCCTATTCTCCCACTGACTGCAGCTCAGATGATGTAAAAGATGAGTTTTACAGAAAGCTTTCGGACCTTCTCCGAAAAGCTAAGCGCTCGGATGTAGTAATTGTGGCCGGTGACTTTAATGCTCAAGTAGGTAAACTAAGCGATAGGGAGAGACACCTGGGTGGATCTTACGGTGTCGTGGCTCAAAGAACAGATAATGGCGACCGTCTGTTGCAGCTATGCTCAGATAACCGCCTGTTCCTTGCAAATACTAACTTTAAACATAAGGAAAAACATCTTTTAACATGGAGACCCCCTAATTCGTCCCAACGTTGGACCCAAATAGATCACATCGCTATCAGCCACCGATGGAGGGGCTCGATAGAAGACTGTCGCTCATTCTGGAGCACATGCCTAGATTCAGATCATGCTCTAGTGCGAGCGCGTATTTGCTTGCGTCTAACTGGACGTAGGAAAGACACTGCAAGAAAACCTCTTAGGGGCCTACTTAATGATAGTCAAGCTAAGAGTATATTTCAGGAACAACTAGGAAAACAGTTAGGGAGCCATGTATGTGATGCCCACCCCGATGCAGCATGGAATGATATCCGAAAAGCTGTGGAAACAGCAGTGATATCTGCTAGTAAGGTAAACCAGAAGGTTAGGGAGCAACACTGGATCTCAGCAGCATCTATCTCACTGATAGATGCTCGGAAACTCATTCCACCTGGCTCTGAACATAATGAAGAGCGGAGTCAGCTTAAGCGCAAGCTGACCAGAAGCCTACGCAACGATCGCGAACAGTGGTGGGTAGCGAAAGCAAGACAGATGGAAAAGGCAGCGGGAATAGGTAATAGCAGACAATTGTTCAGACTCGTTAAGGAAACCGGAATTAGGAACCCGACCGTTAGCGAAACAATCTCAGAGAAAGATGGACATATTATTCATTCTCAATCCAGGAGATTGGATCGATGGGCAGAACACTTTAGGGATCAGTTCAACTGGCCTTCAGCCACACTTCGGTTTCCCACGATCTCTAGTCAACCTGAATGGCAAGTTAATGTAGGTCCTCCGACTTTTTACGAAGTTGAAAAAGCCATAGGAAATCTGAAACGAGGGAGAGCAGCAGGCCCTGACAGGTTTACTCCTGAGATTTTTAAGGATGGTGGTCCAGTATTAGCAATGAGATTAACCGAGGTCTTAAGTAGAATTTGGGAACTGGACGTAATCCCATCTGACTGGTCTCAATCACTGATTGTGCCAGTCTATAAGAAAGGACAAAAGTCCTCTTGTGACAATCACAGAGGAATCAGTTTGACTAATATAGTGTCTAAAATATTAGCTTCAATAATACTTCGACGCCTAATCAAAGCTCGTGAAGAGCAGACTAGAGAAAATCAGGCTGGTTTTCGACCTGGACGTGGTTGTATAGATCAGATATTCACACTACGTCAGGTTCTAGAACACAGACACACATTCAGACGCCCCACAATGGTAGTATTTCTCGACCTTAAGGCGGCATTCGACTCTGTTGATCGTGAGGTTCTATGGCAGTGTTTGTCACTGAAAGGAGTACCAAAGAAGTACATTAACCTTATAAAGGCTCTCTACTCGAACACAACTGGTAGAGTGAGAGCTTATGGAGAACTGTCATCAGAATTGATTACCTCAAGTGGTGTTCGTCAGGGCTGTCCACTCTCCCCATTCTTGTTCAACTTTGTCGTGGACATACTTCTAGAGATAACACTTTCCTCATCTAGATTTCCAGGGGTTGAACTTCTACCGGGAGGTTCACTTGTTGACTTAGAATATGCTGATGACATAGTTTTATTTGGTGAAGACGCTGACAAAATGCAGAGTCTTCTGACCACTCTAAGCAACAATGCAAGCATGTTCGGGATGAGATTCTCTCCCTCGAAATGCAAAATGTTGCTTCAGGATTGGGTTACATCGACACCCGAACTAGTGATAGGGAGTGAAGTAGTTGAGTGTGTCGACCGCTTCACTTATCTTGGAAGTCTGATCAGCCCTTGTGGTCTGGTGTGTGACGAAATCTCAGCACGGATACAGAAGGCTCGACTAGCTTTTGCCAACTTGCGTCATTTATGGCGTAGGCGAGATATCCGTCTATCAACCAAAGGACGTGTTTACTGTGCAGCAGTTCGTTCCGTCCTACTTTATGGCAGTGAAACATGGCCGGTAAGAGTAGAGGATATCCGTAGGCTACTAGTATTTGATCATAGGTGTCTTCGAAACATTGCTCGTATATCATGGGACCATCGATTAAGTAACACAGTTGTTAGAAAACGGGTACTAGGTAAGGATGGCAAATCAATTGATGACGTAGTGAAACTTCATCAGTTGAGATGGCTGGGACACGTGTTACGTATGCCCAACGACCGACTGCCTCGACGTGCTATGTTCAGTGGTATAGGAGTAGGTTGGAAGAAAGCTAGGGGCGGCCAAACCAAAACATGGCACAAGTCCATGAAGTCACTGACAAGTGAACTGAGTCATGTTGGTAGGTGTAGACTACCTGGTTGGGGACCGCGAGATGATAGCAACCGATGGTTAGAGACCCTGAATGACATGGCTCAAAATCGTTTGCAATGGCGCAGGTGCATCCACTCTCTGTGTTCTCTCAAATTCTAATCTTCTGAATTCTTCATGTCCCTTTTTTCCTCTTTCCAAATTTATTTCACTGGATTATACTCTATAAATAACATCTCCAAACCCTAATCTTCCCGATTACTGCTTATACTCTTGCTACCTCTACCACTATGGGATTTGAATGGACAACTGCATCTCTGTGCTAATGTGGTGTGGCAACTCGAACTGATGTACGTACGTACGAAGTTCTACGTTGATACTGACTGACTGACTGACTGGACAGTTCGAAAATGAAATAAATGAGGGAATAAAAAGTCCGGAACAATTTCATAACTCATGGAGGTCACGATAGAGAAAGTTGTTTGGACCACTGCAACTGAGGTTAAGCCATGTCACCTCAAGTCTTCAACTACTGTATATGATTATCGTCCGGACCCCAACCAAAATTTACACAGGCTAACCAATACGCTTCATAAACTATTAATGGTAATTGACTGTTTACGAAATTGAAAGGACGAAAAGCGAATGTCCGGAGCTTTAACCGTACTGATGGGTTTCGGAGGGTCCACCTGGGAGTTGGAAAACCCTTATTCCAAACCAATGGTGCACATGGGTTTCAGTATCCTGAAGGAACAAACAGTGTACGAACCTATTGTCGGCCGCCGGCTAGCATGGGACCACATCTCCTAACGTTGCTCTACTGCCTTGTGGATCAGACCTCTAGGTCAAAGGTTCGGGAAGTGTCCCCCTAAGAAAACCACCTGATCCGGTTTGGGCACCTGGACAGTATCCCAACTCACACAAATCTAATGATTTTTGTGGCGGATATATATATATGGTTCCTCCTTGCACTGATGTTTGTGTTTAGATAAAATAAAAAACAATATATCATACAGTTTAGGTTATTGCAATTAACGAGTCATTAAATTTGTGGAGCGAATCAAAGGTTTCTAAGTTGTCCCATGAATTATTCTTACTGAGATCATAAGCAATGAGATTCCTGATTGAAAACACTTAAAACTGGCAATAGACTGTTAAATAATGGGACTTATATTAATATTTACTGTGAAGCACCATATGCCTGTTGAAAACAAGAATAAATTACAGGTCTTTTAAACTTGATTAATTCCATTACGGCCCAAGTAATACAATCACAACAAGGCAGATTGTATAATGAACAAATCAGAATGTATGAATATGACTGGTGGGAATGATACTATGTTATTAGGATGAATGACATAGCCAAACAATAAAATCCGCAAATTAGTATTAACAGTTAACATAGTGTAAGGATAATGGCGTGAAAACATTACAGAGTAAAGCTGGTTAGAATTAAAAAGCGGTTTTCGATTTTTCTTTAACGAAGTTTGATAATAAATTACATTTGTCGTACATCACATGATAAGCTCCGTATAAATATTGCTGCACAGTATTCGAGGAGTCCAAAGTTGTCGGAAAAAACCCTTCTTCACCAAAAAGTGGAAGACAGCACAATGGCTAATCAAACAACCCACATCTCCGGAGGTAAATAAGTAACAACAGTTAATAGCATGTAAATAATCAATTTATCGCGATTTCTAAACATGACTTCCATATATTTTAGTTTCATCATTCTATCTTGTTTACTGTTCAGCTAATTTGTTAGTGAAGTTTGTGGGTTATAAGGAATTTTTGTGAATCTACTTACGATAACGAAAAATAATACATGAATATATGTTTTGTATAGACATAACTCAGGTGTTATAATCGAACTGATAACAAACCTTAGACCTGAATTCTCTAGAGAAGACAATTACACAGGTTTAGTACCTTTTTTGGCAAAATACTTATGATTTAAGTCGACTCTCCTGATTAGCTGAAAATTGAGTTCTAGTGTAATTATTTTCATCGAAGCTCTTGGCTCCACTACACAGTAATTACACCATGATAACTATCTAACCCCTTTGGCATTTATACCACTATCAGTATCACAAAATTAGGTTCTTGCCAATAAAGGCACGTGCTCTAGAGAAGTGAGGAAACAACAACGGGAATACGTTACTTAAGCATACTTAAGTTAGAATTACATACCGTTCTTATGGGAATGAAGAACGGGACTCGAGGGTTTCGGCGTGGATGAGGTACATTCCTCGACCTCAAGACATTTCTAGCGTCACGAAATGTCGAGTTACGTTGACGAGTACGGTTGCGAAGCAACGTCCGTGCATCAGGTGTCCGTACAGTAAGATTAAGCTTGTTTCTGAGATCGTTTCGACCGTTGACTGCTGACGTATTAGTCTTTCCTAGTCGTCTTCTAGGATTCCGATGTATAACATTATTTAGGACACTTACTTTACGGAGACTTGTCTGAGTCGCCTCTCAAACGTAGCGTTCATCGTTAAAATAAAGACACAATGCACCCAAACAAAAAGATTAACTGTGTTCTTTTGTGGAATTTTTGGGAATCTTAGAATCGCGAGTTGTTAAAAACACTTATTTATATGATAAACTAGTTACATACTTATAGTGCTATGAGGCTACCGTGTAAAAACAACGAGCATTTCCATCAGATTACTGTCATTTATAGTAGGAAGGACACAACCTGTGTTTTGAATTTAGATCTTCACCAAGAGTTTGACAATTTCCTCAGTGAATTGGTGTGGTTACCGAAATTATATGAGTTGTAGGAATGTGGCCCTTGTTTTACCAATCCTCACTATTACGTCTGGATTGGATCCTCTATGTTCATCGATGATACTTCTCAGGCATGTGAAAGATTTCACATCTGTCAGAGCCTCTCCATCAAATATGATTAGGTTGGTTGGTGTTCTGTGTTAAATGTTGTTAAATGCCCTCTTTTTGTTTTTTCTATTCTTGAATCTTATCCAGGGTTTCCATAGAGATCCATCCCTTATAATGATGCTTATAGCGGACAAGCACCTCCTGACATGTTGAAGTTAATGTTTCTTTGATACCCTTCTATTTGTCTTCTATAATAGTCTCTTCTTCTTTCAGTATATCCTGTAAGGTTTGGAATCTGTTGTTGAGAGTTATCTTGAATTCTTCAATTGGTATTTCGTAGGAGGGCTCTATTGAACATTTATAATACTGTTTACCCAGCTGTCCAATGTTCCTTTAGCTTCACTTTCATCTTGATCACAACCAGATGGTGGTCAGAAGGTATGTCAGCTCCTCTCCTGGTTCTCACATCTTCCGTTGAGCTCCTGGATTGTTTATTGATACAAATATGATCTATCTGGTTCTCCGTAGTGTGGTTCGGTGAGATCCATGTAGGAAGCAATTTCCTACAGGTGTAACTGTAAGCTACTCTCTACACTGTCGAGTACAGAGTCTTGGCTTAGCCAAAGTCGGAACAAATAAGCTATTTTGCTCGATAAATTTTATCGGTTTCTAAAACATAAGTTAACACCGTTAGTATACAAAATAAACGGTACGGTCTACTGAATAGGGAAAAGGAGAGACATAAATAACATACCGAGCAGTAACTATAGGATAGGAAAAATGAGTCAACATGGCGAATATTGTTTTATTACTAACATAAAATTGTGATTGGTGAATAAACAAGAAGTAGTCATACAAAGTCAAAGAAAGTTAATGTGGTGGTAGGTGTTTCACTTTATCATTGGTGAGTTCATTTATCGATCACACTTTACAATCCATATAGTTTTGTTTATGCGTTTGTGTGGGAATAATATGCCATCTACATCCGAGTTGTTGAATGCACATAGGTTCACAAATCCCTCACAATTTTCGTTTCTCTCCGCCAGTCCATGACGTCCCATGATATTTTCATATCCGGTGTTGTCCATTCGAATTTTCGCGTCTAGATATGATCTGATGATCCTGGATCCATGAACCTCTCATCCTATAAGTACATTTCTTGTGTCACTTGACAGCGTAAGAGCAACTCCCTGAGTGTGTGGAGCATTTTCCTCTTCGTGACCGGAGTACAGCAGCATTCTTCCCATATCTAGTTTTTTCTATTCAGCCTGGATCCAATGGGTTTCGCTGATTCCGAATACTGCCAACTTGTATCTCCTCATTTCAAAATCTATTTGACTGGTATCTCCGTTCTCCCACATTGTTCGAAAGTTCCATGTACCTATGTCGATTGTTGACCTTGTTGTTAGAAAGTCCATTGGTCTCGCGACTTCTGAACAATCTTGGCTTTCATCCCGAGGCGTCATAAATTTTATTTCAACTCGGAGGGCAGATTTTAAGTGGTCTAATTTGTTTGTTCTGGTCGGCGTTTTTTCAGCAAGGTTGTTTTCTACGGGATGTGGTTGCCGGCCCTATGCACAACCGTATTCCTTCACCCAGGCTTGTTACTGCAAGTAACCCAGGAGGAGCTACGGGCGGAGTTCTTATAAATAATACGCTTCGATAGCTGTTCTGTGCTACATTCGGCTGAAGATGACACGTGTTATCTCAAATTTATCAGGCTATAAACTCTGCGTAAAGTGATTTCGTGCATCTTCAAGGCATCTGAACGATGTCTGAAATGAACGAATTTCGCGATGTATTATTGGAAAGTAACACTAACTAAACAAAGATAGAGCGTACAGAAGCAATAGTAAGTGATCGAAGCAACTTGCATATGGGACGAGTAAATAGCTGCCTGATGGGTAAACAAAGAAACTTTGCAAGGTAGAATTCTCCGAATAAATTGCTCGTTGAGATAAAACATATTGGTTAACGACCGATTCGTAGAATGAATTATTCCCGGCAAGTAAGAGGTGGCAAGCAGTTTTCTTTGCAGTGATTCTCCATGCCTTTATAATCGACAAAAAATTTCTCATTTGACGCAATACTTGGGGCACTGTAATGTCCATCGAAAACATAAACATAAACAACCCAATTTTCCCAAATCCAGTGGAACGGTGATTTCTAAAGAAAAAGCCACGGAAATCCCCATTATTTTCGCTGAGATTGAATTATTTTGAAAGCCAAACACTATGTTTGTCTATGATTTGCAAAAGTGCATTTATTTCCGCATGTGGAACCACAAATGTTGACATTCTGCGGGATTCAGACCCACAATTTCTGGAGAATGTCTAGAGAATTAATGTTGAACAGACTGATAATGGGAATAGAAATTCTGTTTTGGACAACTTTCATCAGTGTTAAAGCTTAGTTGTCTACTAGTAACTCCAAGTAAAAGTCAAATAAAGTCACTCTTATAATACTACATTCCAAAGTTCACTACATTGGGCGAAGTAAAATAGATATACCGACGAACAAAGTATTTATAAGTAGGGACGAACGGTGGCTAGCAGTCTATTACTCTCATTTCATCAACTTAAAGTTCCCAAATCTAGTCAAATTAGAAGTTGGGAGCGAAGGAGTTCGAAGGTAAATTTGGAAGGTATTCAATACTTCGAAAAGCGCTTGTCCTGAGCTGACTAGTTGTTGTGAGTGATGCGTAGCATAATGTACGCAATCGTGATCTAGTGAGGATGCGTGACCAAGGGTGTACCTAGTAAAAAGAAAGACATCAGGATCAATTTCAAAGACTTACAGTACGGTTTATTTTAAGAATTGATTGGCCGTAACACACTCACAAGGTATACGAAGCAATTTATCTCAACCTAGAAATTAATTTATAGTCGGTAATAGTGATGTACGAGCCAAACGAAATTATGGAAAATGTAGATGATGGCAAACTCCGCCTGGAGTCCCTCCGGGGGCTACTGCCGGTCCTAAGTCCGGATAAAGGAGGAGGATTGGGCATGGAGTTAGCGACCCCATCCCGTAGAAAACTAACTCGCTAAAAAAACGCTAACCAGAAAAAATTACTCAAACCTTTTAAACTCTGCCCTGCGAGTCAGAAGGTCTTCTTCTAGAAGAACTATGACGCCTCATGATGAAGGCCGAATTCTTTCGGAAGTTACGAGGCCGATGCCCCTTCTGACAACCAGAGCGACCATTTATTTGGGTACATGGAATGTTCGTACAGTGTGGGACACCGGGAGAGCCTTCCAAATCGTTGCAGAAATGAGAAGATACAACCTAGAGGTGCTTGGGATCAGTGAAACACACTGGACGCAAGTTGGACAACAACGACTAGCCTCAGGGGAGCTTCTGTTATACTCCGGCCATGAAGAAGAAAATTCTCCATATACACAATTAGTTGCATTGATGCTGTCCAAAGAAGCACAAAATGCGCTTATAGGATGGGAATCTCATGGACCAAGGATCATCAAAGCCTTGTTCAAAACAAAGAAAGAGGGGATTTCAATAGACATCATCCAATGCTATGCGCCTACCAACGACTACAATGAAGACGCTAAAGATCAATTCTACAATAGGCTGCAGTCAATCATCGAGAAGTGCCCAACAAAGGACCTGACCATTCTGATGGGAGATTTCAATGCCAAGGTTGGAGTGAACAACACTGGATATGAAGACGTCATGAGACGACACGGACTGGGAGAAAGGAACAAAAATGGTGAAAGATTCGCAAACCTATGTGCCTTCAATAAACTGGTCATAGGCTGCACCATATTCCCACATAAGCGCATTCGCAAAACCACATGGACTTCACCGGATCACACTACGCAGAACCAAATCGACCATATCTGCATCAACAAAACGTTCAGGAGGACTATAGAGTACGTGAGAACCAAGAGAGGAGCTGATATGGCATCAGATCATTACTTGCTGGTCGCCAAGATGAAATTGAAACTCAAGAAGCACTGGACAATGGGGCGGACAACATCACAAAAGTTCAATACGGCCTTTCTTCAGGATACTGACAAACCCAACAAATTCAAGATAGTCCTCAGCAATAAGTTCCAGGCCTTTCATGATCTACTCAATAGAGAAGGAACTAATATGGAGAGCAACTGGAAGGCGGTCAAAGAGGCAATCACTTCAACATGTCATGAGGTTCTGGGCCACAAGAAGCACCATCACAAGGAATGGGTCACTGTTGATACACTGGATAAGATTCAAGAAAGAAGGAACAAGGAAGCAGCAGTCAATACCAGTCGAACAAGAGCAGAAAAAGCCAAGGCACAAGCTGAATACACAGAAGTAAACAAACAAGTGAAGAGGAGCATCAGAACTGACAAACGTAAATATGTGGAAGATTTAGCAACGACGGCGGAAAAGGCTGCAAGAGAAGGAAACATGAGACAATTGTATGACACGACAAAGAAACTCTCTGGAAATCGCCGCAAACCAGAACGACCAGTGAAAAGCAAGGAAGGCGAGGTAATCACCAACACTGAAGAGCAACGAAACAGGTGGGCAGAACACTTTAAAGAACTCTTGAATCGACCGGCTCCACTGAACCCACCCAACATCGAAGCAGCACCCAATCAATGTTGGCCCACCAACACTTGAAGAAATCAGCATGGCCATCAGACAAATCAAGAGTGGCAAAGCAGCAGGACCGG